CTGGAATTTGCTTTTAGACATACAAAAAAGTTGTCACAGGATAATGTTCTTTAAATGGAAGACAGACATGCACAGGCTTTAACCATGCTCACCAAATTATTTCTCTAGAATGATTTGAAAAATCAAAACTCTTACTAAATTTCTGAGGGAGGATAAATATAATTTAAATTCTGCTTAGGGAAATAATTAAGCAGAAGTTGAAAACTTCCAGCTGATTGTTGGGGTGCCGCTGTGAGAGCTGACTGACATTTTCCCTAGCAGGGTTGCAAAGAACCACTTCAGAGGCACACGCTGCAGTTTTGTGTTTTCCCACTTGGTGGCAATCACTCACTGTCTTTCCTTCCCACCTCTGCGCCTCTCCGGGAAAGCTGCTGCTCTGCGTTCTGCAGCCTCTCTCGGTTTGGGGAAAGAAGCAAGGGTAAAACCCAAAGTTTTCTGTTACTTCAGATATCAAAGGTGTCAAAAGAGAAGAGTTTGTTAAGTGGGAATGGAAGTATTTCACAGTTCAGTTGTCAGAGAAATTGTGTTCTTTGTTAGGAAACCTTTTGCCTTTTTTTTCCTACTGTAGGGCACAGATCAGTAGTGGTGTATAAAGTGTTGATTAAGAGCAAGTTTACTGGACTTTATAGCCCTGGACAGAATGAGGTAAATAATAATAGATACGAAAAAGTCCTCCAGAAATTCACAAGGCATCATGACAGTATTTGTATTTCTCTTTTTTTTTTTTTTTTTTTTTTTTTTTTTTGCCGACAACAGGAATAAATCCATGTAGTTAGGGCTTCTTGGTCTGCAGAGAACATGCTTGGGCAGAGGTGTTGTTGCTCTGGCTAACCAAACATATATCTGCAGAAGCTGTAGCTGGGTACAACGTTGTCTTTCATAACATTAACACACCTTTCAGCTTTTTCCTGAGTCCATAAGGTTCCCTTTGCTGGATCAGACATAGGGGAGTAAGAGCATCAGGCTGTGCTCTGAGGCACACACAGCTTGGATGTACTGCTTCACAGAAGCATTTAATGTCTTCCACACACTAAGCACAGCTGGCACTTAAGATAACAAATCCAGGGATGGTAGGAACAATTT